CCTTATCATTTTATAGTTGTGAGTCCAACTTCAGTCATAACACTGGTAATTTTATATCCCTGTCAAACAGGAAACCTGAACACACAATACTAAATATGTATTTACACTTGTCACCATAAATACTGACTCCTGTCTGAGCAATATTTGCGAAACACTAAAGTACATGGCTTGGTTAAAAAAAAAACTATATCAAACAATTTGTGATGAAGTTTTAAAGATTAACATGATAGGAACCTATGTGCTCTGCCTGCGTGTTCCATGCTGGGTTAAAAAGTCAAATGTAGTCACAGCAGAATAAGACATGGTTGGTTTTGATCATTTCAGTTTTTGTTGAAAATTAATATCATCACACCTTTTTTAAAAATATTCAAACTAAAAACCCACCATCAAATAAATTGAGGTCTCTCAGCAGCACTGGGCCATATACACCCTCCAGAATGCTTTCAAACCCTGCAAGGCAAAACAAACAATCCTTCAGCACGGGAAAAAGGAAGATATGTATGCTTGACTACTTGACATTTGGATACAGGATGTTCTACCTATTTTATGCAAACTACACCAATTTACAGCAACAAGACATACAGTCAGGGAAAAATTATTTGAACCCCAGCTGATTTTGTAAGTTTGCCCACTAACAAAGAAATGATCAGTCTACAATGTCAATGGTAGGTTTATTTGAACAGTGAGAGACACAACAATAACAAAAAATCCAGAAAAATGCATTACAAAAAAAGTTATACATTAATTTGCATTTTCATGAATGAAATAAGTATTTGATCCCTTTGCAAAACATGCTTTAGTACTTGGTGGCAAAACCTTTGTTGGCAATCACAGAGGTCAGACGTTTCTTGTAGTTGGCCACAAGGTTTGCACACATCTCAGGGGGGATTTTGACCCACTCCTCTTTGCAGATCCTCTCCAAGTCATTAATGTTTCGTGGCTGATGTTTGGCAACTCGAACCTTCAGCTCCCTCCACAGATTTTCTATGGGATTAAGGTCTGGAGACTGACTAGGCCACTCCATGACCTTAATATGCTTCTTCTTGAGCCAATCCTTTGTTGCCTTGGCCGTGTGTTTTGGATCATTGTCATGCTGGAATACCCAACCACAACCTATTTTCAATGCCCTGAAGTTGAGTTAATGCCAAAGAGCTTGATTTTGGTCTCATCTGACCACAACACTTTCACCCAGTCTTCCTCTGAATCAGTCAGATGTTCAGTGGCAAACTTCAAACGGGCCTGTAGATGTGCTTTCTTGAGCAGGGGGACCTTGCGGGCACAGCAGGATTTCAGTCCTTCACGGCGTAGTGTGTTACCAACTGTTTTTTTGGTGACTATGGCCCCAGCTGCCTTGAGATCATTGACAACTTCCTCCGGAGTAGTTCTGGCCTGATTCCTCACCGTTCTCATTATCATTGAAACTCCACAAGTTTCAGTCCATATCTTGCATGGAGCTTCAGACTGAAGGAGATTGGCAGTTAATTTATGTTTCTTCCATTTGCAAATAATCGCACCAACTGTTGTTACCTTCTCACCCAGCTGCTTGGCGATGGTCTTGTAGCCCATTCCAGCCTTGTGTAGGTCCACAATCTTGTCCCTGACATCCTTGGAAAGCTCTTTGGTCTTGGCCATGGTGAAGAGTTTGGAATCTGGATTGATTGATTGCTTCTGTGGACAGGTCTCTTTTATACAGGTAACGAGCTGAGAGGGCTCCCAATGTCAGCTTGTTACCTGTATAAAATACACCTGGGAGCCAGAGATCTTGCTGAATGATAGGGGCTGAAATACTTATTTCATTCATGAAAATGCGAATTAATGTATAACTTTTTTTGTAATGCATTTTTCTGTGTTTTTTTTTTTTTGTTATTGCTGTGTCTCTCACTGTTCAAATAAACCTACAATTGAAATTGTAGACTGATCATTTCTTTGTTAGTGGGCAAACTTCAAACAAACAAACAAAATCAGCTGGGGTTCAAATAATTTTTTCCCTGACTGTATGTTGACAGGCAAGTGCATTGTTATTTCTAGTTGTCGCGTCAGCCAGACAGCCAGCACCTATCATGTTTAACACCTAATAGTCCGTATAAACACAGTGAACAACACAAAAAATAAATGACTTGTGAACAGCAGTAGTATACAGTTTTGGCTTTGTTTTCTTTTGCGAGTATTCGGTCTAAGCCCCTATGATTAAATATAATAAACAACAAAAAGGAATCCTCCTAACGTCGAGTGAACGAGCCATACTTTATGCCGGCTTGTCCAACATAAAAACGATGTTCAAAATATCAAATAATAGCACGGTATATGGCAAACTGTTATGCAAAACCGCTGAAATGTGTAGTTTTGTCATACTGCACTGACATTAGCATCCTTAACAAAGAAACGATCCCTTCTCTCAAATAACAAAAACACCGATAATGTTAGCATAGCATGTTAGCGGGGTATTAGCATTACCAATATACAGTTTATGTCAATAAGCAAATCTAGCTGAAGATGTAACTATAGGATAACCACAAAAGATCCCAGTCACATTAATGCTGCATGTATAATATCCTCTTAGTCATATCACAAGACATTTAATCGCTAGGACCGGAAAGAAGCTAGTTAACAGGACAAAGAAAAGAAGCCAACTGGTGGATATTAGCCCCATTTTAACTTAACCGCTAACGTTAAACCTGACCACCTATGGTCTTAGGCTACTAGCTAGAAACCGTTTAGCTAGCATTAGCTAGCAATCGAACGACTCGGGGTAGCGATCGCTCTGCTACCAGACGAAATCTCTTGAAGCCCGCTGATTTGTATTTTTTTTTTTTTTTTTTACAAAATATGAAATTGCACATAGATCATACCAACACAGTGTATTAATTTGTGTCGCCAAGAATCCAGTTCCCGCCGAATCCCTTTTCTTTCTACCGTGCATTTGGAACACTGCACACTCGCCATTCTGCGTCCTTCCCCCTCCTTCTGCTATTCCTTCTTCTTCTTCCTTCTTTCTAACTGGCGGGTGGTAAGTAAGGTTAAGCTGCATTACCGCCACCAGCTACCCTGGAGTGTGTAGACTACAATGTTCTGCTGCTTTTTATTTAATGGCGAGTTGCATCCAACGTCAAGTTGCATTTCCGCCACCTACTGTGTACTGTATTTAGTCCTCGCTAACGTTACCTCGCACCTCGCAGCATGTTCGATTTGTACGGTCGCCATCAAATGCTCAGACATCAAATGGTTCATCCATATCAAAGAGTGTGCTATAGAAGCAATACAGTACGGAAGGCAATGAGGTTGTCTATCTATATTCTAAAATACCTTTTATACTGAATTCTGATCATGATTATTGGTACGTGCTGAGGTGTTGGGAGCTCTAGGGCACATGTGTCAAACTCAAGGCCCGCGGGCCAAATGTGGCCCGCCACGTCATTTTATGTGGCCCGTGAGAGCTTAATAGGTGCAAATAAGTATATTCTGCTTTAAAGCGTGCACTGACCATAAACCACGCCTCCCATAATGCATTTAAATTGTTACCTGCGAAGTAACGGCATCTCTCTACTTTAAGTGGAATCTAGAAATCTTTACAAATGATCCCAAAATGTCAAAGAAAAGAGAAATTGCCCATTTTCCTGTTTATCAGAGCATCTCAGCCTCAGTTCCCGGTACTTTTTCGTGTGCTCGGTTGGCTACCAAACTGAACCGGTTAATGAATGAGTTTGATCGGCACTTCTCTGGTTTCTTTGCCGATCCTTTCACCGCCGACGTCTGCAGTGCGCCCCATCACCTTCAGAGGGAGTTCATTGAGCTTCAGAGCGATAGTGGCCTGAGAACAAAGTTCCAAGATGCTGCAATCGAGGGCTTTTACCATCTCCCGCCCCCTGGTTTGATGCCACAGCTCCGACTTCATGCTGCTCGTGTTCTGTCAATGTTTAGGAGCACCTATCTGTGCGAACAGATCTTTTCAATAATGAATCTGAACAAGACCAAGCACAGATCACGCATTACTGATGACAAGCTCCACACTGTTTTGCGGATTGCCTCATCACAAGACCTCAAACCAGACATTGACACACTGGCCAGGGGAAAACGGTGTCAGAAATCTGGTTAGAAAACACGTAGGTAAGCATTTTTAAAAACCTGAATTAGAATAGAATGTATTTCAACCATGACTAAGAACAGTAGAATATGTGTGCAATTTAATGAATGAATGCTTGCATTTTGTTTTGTGTTTGTTATTTTCATAACATGATCTATGGATGAGGATGTGTGTGAGATGGTGTCTATGGGTGAGGAGGGATCTACTTGGTGTGTTCAAGGACAGGCAGCATCACCTCGTTGTTGCTGTTGTTGTAGTAAAATGCTATTTCTGTCACACTTGTTGGTTGTGCCATAGTTCTGCCCCCCTTGATTGTGACAAAAAAAGTTTTGAATAAAGTTACTATCTTAAATTGTTTTTGATATTTTCCTGATTTACTTGAATCGTTTGATTGTTGATTCTTGGAGTAATAATATGGGTTTCTTAAACTGAACATTTATTTTTACATCTATGCAAATGCATATGTAATATTTGTAACTTGAATAAGTAATAAATACAGAAACAGTTATTTAACAATGTGATAAGGAGTAGTTTTATTTTAAATGACGTTAAATTTAGTTACATTTATACTGTTAATCTGGCCCTTTGAGGGCAATCATTATGCTATAATTTTTCAAAAAGAAGTAATAAAGAAGTTACACGACAGGGGTGTCAGTACATGTCTGACAGCCTGTGATGTAATTTAGTAAAACATCTGGCCTAATTGGTCCATTTGTTTAGAAAGTTTTAACAGCAGATTACTTGTCCAGTTGTTCAAATGTAAATATCTGCTGTTGGGAGAAGCTGGGTTTATTTCTTCCACTTCTGTGGTTTCCTCAACCCCAGAAAGTGGCGAAATCTTTTCCACCGAGACTTTGGTTTAGTGGTCCCTGTGGAGATCTGTTCAGAAACCACAGCATTCTCTGTCAGTTCATCCTGAAAGGCACCAGGGAGAGAGTCCTGGTCCTCACATTGTCCATCCTCATGCTCCTCAGGGTCATCATGCTCTTCACAGCTGGTGACTTCCTTAGCATTGAGCTTAGCTAAGAGCTGGTT